CTTCAGAAGGTTGTTGTCTTATCAACCACTGAAGCAAAATATATCACTCTCATTGAAGCTGTGAAAGAAGCATTGTGACTTGAAGGTTTTGCTAAGGAGATGAAACTTCAAGGTCGATTTATCGCTGTTAAATGTGATTGTAAAAATGCAACACACTTGTCGAAGAATTCAACCTATCATGAGAAAACTAAGCACATCAATGTGAGGCTGCACTTCTTTAGAGAGATAATCGAGCGTGGAGAAGTCAAGTGCTAAAGGTTTCGACTGATGATGACATTGCTGATATGACCACTAAGACATTGTCGAGTAAAAAGTTTTTCCACTGTATACAATTGATAAAGCTGCATGATTAAAGTTAGTTTGTTCCCTTGTTAGTGTAGAATTTGTTCCAAGGTGGAAATTTGTAGTATTTGGATTAAAATCTTGTATCGACAAAGGTGGTTTCATGGTTTGACAAGAGTTGTATGTGCTTTAGTCGAAGTCTGTTCGAGCATACTGTCGAAATATATTAACTTGTAATTGAAGTTAGTATGTTGAATTGGGCCTTACTTGTAAGCCCAATTGTTAAGTTAGCTTGTATCCTAAGTTAGCTCATTAGTCTATAAATAGACTAGTTCTCTCAGGTTGTTGAGAGAGGTTAATTGTTGGTATTCACTTGTAATCTTTGAACCCTTATTGAGAAAGTGAATAGAAAAACGGATTTAACCAATTATTCTTCTTCTTGTTCCTTCTTCTCTATCTTTTATAAAACCTAATAGGGTTTCTTGTATTTGTTCAAGAAACTCAATCTTTTTCTCATATTTTGGTTTGTTCTTGACGACATCAATTCACAACAAAGAAAAACTATAGAAAACAAACAAAATAAGAGTTTAAACATATGATACTTTAGATCTTTTGTTGAATCCATATCCAAATTCCCATCCACCATCTTTTATAGATATGAAAAAAAAGAAGAAAAACAAACAAAATTAAGAGCTTCAATATATTAAATATCAAATCAATTTAAAAATTTGAAAACAAAAAAACACAATCAAATGAATTAAGTAGCTTCAGTGATGAAACAGAGAAGTTGAGCGATTTTCCATGGTATATGAGAAGAATATTTGGACAATGATTGTTGATAGCATAAGAAGATAACAAATAGCAAACCAAAAACTTGGGAAAAAAATGAAGAACATGAAATGTTTGTGGTTAGGGTAAATGATTGCATAACAAATTTCCAATAAGTGAAAGAAAAATAGAGATGAGATAGATGAGGGAGGGTATAAGAGCTGTAAGAATGGAGAGATGTAGAGAGATTATATGGTCATTTTGTAGACAGAGGTTTGGAAGATTGATGAGACAAACCAGTGATGAAAATTTGCATATTGATTTGACATAAGAAATTGATTTCTTTTCTAACCATTATTGGGGGAGATTTTTACTAGAGAGCATTGAACATTGTGAGACTTTTCTTTCTAGAGCAACACCTTTGTGAGAGACACACCACATACTCACCCAAAATCTTAAGGTTATAGGTGTATGGATTCTCTCACTTATAAATGCTCAAGTCACCATATTCTTATCCAACGTGGGACTATTATCCATAATACTCACACTTATTAATACTTAACATCCCCTCAAGCGTGAGTCTATCCACACTGCTTCTACAATGCACCCCTTAAGCGGAAGCTTCAATTGTGCAACCACATCCTTGTACCGCCATTGATACTCTTCAACGAGACACTCGACCCATGACATATGGGGATACTTTCGATACAAGTAAGCCGGTCCCTCACTCGAACCAAAGGCTCATGATACCACTGTTAGGGGAGATTTTCACCTATGGAGCATATTGTGAGACTTTTTTCTTTCTAGAGCAACACCTTTGTGAGAGATACACCACATACTCACCCAAAACCTTAAGGTGATAGGTGTATGTAGTGTCTCTCACAAAAGTGTTGCTCTAGAAAGAAAAGTCCCACAATGTTTAATGCTCCCTAGTAAAAATCACCCCCAACAGTGGTATCAGAGTCTGGTTCTTCACAAGAGATTCTCACAGAATCCTTCTTGACATTCTTGTCATCATGCGAAGCAGAATATATAGTTGTTTCTCTTTGTGCATGTCAACTATCAACTTGGAAAAGAATCCAATAGCACGCGGTCGAAGCAAGCACATCGAAATAAGGCTTTATTATCTTCGAGAGCAGGTAGCAGAAGGGAAGACGAACTTGGAACACTGCAGAACTAAGAATCAGATTATAGACATAATGACGAAGGGAGTGCCAGTCGAAGTGTTCAAGAAGCTAAGGTCTATGATGAATGTAGATAGTTTAGACATAATGAATTAAGTGGTGTGCTAAATATGTAATTCATTGTTTTAGAAAGGTTAGATTTGATTTAGAAAGATCAGATTTGACTTAGAAAGATTATATTAGATATTTTTGGGCTTTTATAGTTTGCACTTTGACTTGGGGTGCAAGCTAACCTAAATCTATAAATAGGGAGAAACCATTATTTTGTAAACATCTCATCTCATCATATTTTGTAATTCACAGTTTGCAATTGCAAGTGAAATAACAGAATTTCCACCGTTTGTGGGCATAGAGTTATCTGCAGAAAATTGTTCATCTTCTTCTTCTCCAATGTTTACTTTCTTTCTTTCTTTCTAAACTTTTCTTTCATTGTCATTACGTGAGTTGAAACAATCTTGAGATCAAGACTAATTGAGAGAAATTCTCCATAGGTTGTGGTTGAATTTCCAACATCTGGTATCTAGACTATTATGGGAGATTTTCACCTAGGGAGCATTGAACATTGTGAGACTTTTCTTTCTAGAGCAACACTTTTATGAGAGACACACCACTTACACCTATCACCTTAAACTTTTGGGTGAGTATGTGGTGTGTCTCTCACAAATGTGTTGCTCTAGAAAGAAAAAAGTCCTACAATGTTCAATGCTCCCTAGGTGAAAATCCCCCCTAACAGTGGTATCACGAGCCTTTGGTTCAAGTGAGAGATCAAATTACTTGTATCGAAAGTATCCCCACAGGTCGTGAATTGAGTGTCTCGTTAAAGAGTGTCAACAGAGGTACAAGGGTGCAGTTGCACAGATGAAACTTCTGCTTAAGGGGGAGCATTGTAGAAGTATTATGGATAGACTCACACTTGAAGGAAAGTGTTAAGTATTAACAAGTGTGAGTAGTATGGATAATAGTTCCACATTTGATAGGAATGTGGTGACTTGGGCATTTATAAGTGAGAGAATCCATACACCTATAACCTTAAGGTTTTGGGTGAGTATGTGGTGTGTCTCTCACAAAGGTGTTGCTCTAGAAAGAAAAGTTCCGCAATATTCAATGCTCTCTAGTAAAAATCTCCCCCAACAGATGCTTCAACTGTGCAACTGCATTTTCTGTTGTGTGGTTCTTACTCACCACCCTTGTACCGCCGTTGCCACTCTTCAATGGGACACCTCCTAATCACCACCTGTGGGGAGTATTATTGATGCAAGTAAGCCGATCCTTCAGTCGAACCAAAGGCTCATGATACCATTGTTGAGGGGGGGGGGGGATTTTCACTAGGGAGTATTGAACATTGTGGGACTTTTAATTTTTGAGCAACACCTTTGTGAGAGACACACCACATACTCACCCAAAATCTTAAGATTATAAGTGTATGAGTTCTCTCACTTATAAATACTAAAGTCACCACATTTTTATCCAATATAGGACTATTATCCACACTACTCACACTTGTTAATACTTAACAACCATAAAGGTAATTATCAATTGAAAAAAGAGTGATGCAAATCTCTTGATGTTGAACAAAGAGGTAAGAAACAATTCAATTACAACTTATTGATATAATCATTTAGCAAATGAAATAATTGGACCATAAATCTCTTCCAAAACCATGTGTAATAAAATCAGCCAGCAGCATAAAATTATGGAAATAAATATTATATTATTTTTTGCAATTGCAAATTGAATTGAAAGGAAAAATAGAAAAAGTAGATGATAAGATAAAATTTAATATAATAGAAGTTTAGTGCAATAAAAGAAGACGTGACAGATTGTCAATGAATAAAAAATAATAGTAAAAAATTATTTTAGTCGGCAAAATATTAAATGAGCAGTAGTATAATGTTTTGATGGGAAATTAGAATAATATTTTAATAGAAATGAATGGAAGGTAGAAAAATTTATGCAAGTAATCATTGATAAAATAATTTGAAACAACAGTCAACCTAAAAAAAAATGTAAAAGCAGAGGGACAACCCAATAATTTTCCAAATGTAAAAGCAGAGGGACAACCCAATAATTTTCAAAACATATTAATTTATCATATCATAGATATAGATAAGAGTTTTTTTTTTGTCTATAGATGAAATGATAATAATTATCAAATACTCAAACATACCATTTTATATGATATGTAATTTAACAATATTAGTAGTGTTTTTCAAACTATAATTTACAGAATGAATAGAAGTGTTTAAGTTGAGATAGTATTTGAGAGAGAAATATATCACATGTATATTACTAGAAAAGCTTGTTAGATTAAATGGGAGAAAGTTTGTTTGAATCAAGCTAATGGTGTGGATGTATGTATTACTGCCTGTACCTGTTGTGTGATCTTATTGGTTTTGATGACGAGCGATGACATCACTCTATGTTAAATGGTCATATCAAAAGACAAAGCTACCACACAATATCACTCTCGGGTTACAATTGGATATTTCATTTATGAAGTTCAAGTTTCTATTGATCCCCAAGAAACCAATCATGTGCTATGTACTACACAATATTTATCTCAAACAAACAAAACTGCTAACAATAAGAACCACTAACATAAAATTCAAAAATAAAATAAAAACATAGCTATACATGTGAAAATTTTATTTTCTAGCACAATTTGTGCCATCCTTTCTGCAAATCACATAACAAAACCACTTAATAGTACTACTCTTCCACCAAAAAAAAGCACTTCTATACAAAATAGAACAAACACAACTATAATCACAATCCAAAATCATCCATTTTTAGCGCTGTAGTCAAGTGGCCAACTCTAAACCCAGTATTAACCCTCAAGTATTCATCCCTACAGTTATATACATTCACATGTGTTGCTTCAAATCCCATAAACTTTTTAGGAAAAAAAGTCTCAGCTGAAAAATGTGACAACTCTTTTCTAGCTCCAACTGCATTAGTTGTTCTTTTGTATGAACTAAACCACTTGTTTTGCATGTATAAATTTCTTCTCCATGGTGCTACATGTAAATCCATTCTTTTCATTGATCCTTTAATTGCAGAACACATTAGTCTCACAATTCGTTTGAACTCTTCCATTTTACCAACAAAAATCATTGGAAAAAATTCAAGTAAAGAAGAATATTGATTTGTTGGACGAGCTATTTCGAATTCAGAAGATAAAGAAACTTCAACTATGTAACGTTTTCCAGAAAGAGTTACATCAATGTACTCATAGTCTCCTGCTGTTAATTTTCCCCTTTTCTCCCATTTCGTTTTGCATAGTCCTATATAAAGAGAATCAAATCAAGAATATTAATAATCAAGAGTTAATTAACAAGTTAGTTAAGTTATTGAAAGATATTACTCACCAGCATCGTAACCTTTCTCCCTTAATTGAGTCATCAACCAACGTTTAAATCCAGGAAATGAATTATCACTTCCAATAAGTCCTCCAATTGCAATCTCAACCTCTCTTCTAATCCTTTCTTTATCATCCCTTTCATCCTCTTCAACATCTTCGTTCCCATCAAACAACTTCTTCAACATTTCAACTTTTTCAAGATCTTCTTCATTAACCTTCTCACCGAGATCTTCGCCACGATCAATTTTTTCTTTTTCTTTTTCTTCTTCCTCTTCTTCTGATCTCTCGTTGTCTTCCATAAAAGACAACACGAGATCAGACAATTCGGGCGAGCTCTCCGGCGAGTGCTCGCTTCCGCTGCTCTCGCTGCAGGGCTTCACACGTGAAAGTGCCATATCAGCGTCAAATGCATCCATCATTCTCTGAAACCTCACCGGAAGATTTTCCATATTAAAAAAAAACCTCTCTCTCTACAAAAGAATATACACTAACTAACAGTAATCTTAAGATGAAAACAAATAATTGTATTGGGATATTTATAATGTACTTGTAACATGGTGTTATATATTTATACTATGGTTGAGATTGGGAACGGTGGAGAGTTTTTTCAGTGCTAAAGTGTACTAACATGAATGTAGGCACATTTTGAAATGAACCTGACTTCAAAAAGCGTCCAGGTTCTATCTGCCAAATGTTGTGTCCAAAACCAACATTGGATTATTATTACTACATTCACCATTCAAGCTATCTTATCTTCACTGTTATACCAATACAGAAAATTTTCACGCTTTTCTTACTCTCTTTTGCTTTCTTTATTTATGGTATATCTAATTTTGGTTTGTTAATTATTTTATTTATGACATTATTTGGTCATGCTATTTACATTAAAAAAAACAATGTTTTAAAATCCGATCCCAACATGGATCTGGTTAAATTATTTGATCATTAGGTTAATAATCAGATCAATGGATCATTAATCTGTTTATATAAATTAAAAAAATTCATTAATTAAAATTATTCATATCGATTTCATACCTATAAAATACATGAAATAATTTATTAATACAAATAAGTGAATAATAATTTTAAATAAAATTTAAACTTTTTAAATATAACAATTTATTAATACTTATAAATTAACAAAAACAAGAAAAATAATTGTATGATATAATACTATAGTAAACTAATAAATTAGAACATAAATATTATGCTCTATATAAATAATTAAAAATAGATAGAGTAGAAAATAAAAATCTATAAATAAAGAAGAAAATTAAAATAATGTGATTTTTATTTAAAAATAATAATGAGATTTATAAATATAAAAATTAATAAAAATACTGTGATTTTTACTTTAAAATAATAATGAGATTGATATTAAAAAAATGCAAATTCAATTTCTTTTTTCTTATGTAACATAATTAAATAACGTGAAAATATAATTTTTTTAACATGATTTTTTGTTCAAAGTTTTTGCTAATTTATAAATATAAATTTTTTTTGAAACATTATCATAAATATGCTTAAGGGTAATGCTAACTTTTTTTCTTGGGCCACAAGTTTCAAAGCCTCAGAAGACCCGGAACGTCAACAGGCGACTCGGTAGTCATCGATCGATCGTTTCGTTGACCGAAAAGTCAACTCTTCAACCATAAGGAATTTTACCTCAAGATGGGAAGCAAAAATGTTCCTAATGACATATTACACCTACCCATGAAGTTTCATGATCATTGGATCAAGTATTGAGGAGTAATCGCAAAGATCGGGAATTAGGATTTTGAAAGGGGCAAAACCATAACTCCCTAACCACACATCCAATTGAGGTGGTTCATTGGAAAGGTCCTGACAAGTCCTAAAAAAGTGTCACAATGGTCCATGGGCAGAAAATGCATAGATTTGAAGTTATGGCCAAAATCATCACAAGAGGGAGAAAACACAGAGAAATTCTAAGTTGCCGACCTTTTTAGGCATGTTTTCAGCCAACTTTGAAGAGATTTTTGACCTAGTTCCACTTGGAATCTGAAGATCATGAAAACATGAAAGTTGTAGAGCTCCATGAGGGCTTTCCAAAGAGTACTAGAACTCTTCCATAGCCCTTGTGAGCTGAGAGTTATGAAGTGAGAAAGTTAGGCTTGTGCACTAGTTTGTCAACTTGCCAAAACCCAACATGAACTTGATTTCCAACTATGAACTTCATCTCTAACCATGGATTGACCTCTGATGAGATGTATTAGAGTGCAATTTGGACTAAATTAGAAAAGAATCCAAGCAAATCTCAAATGTTAGACAAGACACATTAGTTTAATGGGAAAAATGCAAAAAGTTACACCATGAGAGAGAGTATTGGTGGCTGTAGCAGGTAGGGGGTCTTGCTCACTCAAATGTCACTTATCACATCTCATTTCTAGCTAGCTTTTGATGGCAAAACTCCTTGCAAGCAAGCTAAGTCAGTAGAACCAAAACCATTACATGGATTCATGAGTTTTTAACTAAAAAAACACCTTGAATACCACTTGCGCAAATATGCCCCAAACCCTTCCTTGGCCTATAAAAAGAGGTTTCACTCCACTCTTAAAACCACACCAGAGCCATTCAAGAGAAAAATAAACTCACAAATCTCTTATTTCCCTCCTTGCTTGAAAGTGAAGAAATTCACAAAATCACCATTTTCACCACTTTACACTTTTCACACCAGTCCTTGTTCCAAACACTAAAACACCATAAAAACCATATACACACCCTTAAAATGACCATCTGAAGCTGTTTCCATCATCACGTTCATCAAAAAATTCATAGATCAAAAAGTCAAACTTTAAACCACCATAGTTTGACTTTTATGCACATTTCATGCCAAATCACTACATAGATCCATTTCCATCATTTTGGAACTTTAGACACTTCATATTTATGATGTATTATCTGTTCAAAACCTCCAACCACAACTGGAACTTTAATTGCTCCAACTGTCCACAAGATTTCACTTTTCTTCAAAAGGAAGTAACATCACAAGCTTGCTCAAAAGGGAAGGATCTCTAGTTTTCTTGGCTGCTAGCACAGTGAGGACTACAAGAGGTGTGTTATTTTGAACTCATTCACTAGTATGCATTGCCATATATTGTTTTGCGGTTGAGATTGGTTTGTACATTGTCATGTTAGTTGCTGCTAGGATTTAGTTTAAATGCTAGGTTTTTGTTATATTTGTTAGTCTGAAGTAGTTTCTGTCATTAGAGGGATTGCAGTAAAAAAATTGTGTCAACCCTTGAGGGAATGTTTAGAATTATTGTTTATCCTTGACTTGCTCCTGGCTGGATCTATTTAACTTATTTAGCATTTTTGCATTGGGCCTGTCTTTTATTGGATTGGTGTGTGGATGTTCTTAGAGTCCTATGCTAGGATTTAGTTTGTTTGACATAGTTATGTTGAAATGATTCACAAGGTTTGTTGAAAGACACATTGGCCTATGATGATCAACAGTGCCACATTAGGGTTGTATTTGCTGGTTGGTCTTGAGGAGGACATTAGTTTAAGGCATAATTCCTTACTGCTGAACCAGTTCATCATGGTTTGAGTTTTATCTTGCTGCTGTCCTTGAGGTTTAAGTTTGTCAGTTCACTGAAACTGGTGGTTTGCCTTTCTTCTAGTTTCTCATCATTAAAAGTTTGGTCATGACGTGATTTTCAATTGAGGAATTCTGTTTGAAACTGAGGATGGTGATCAATATGTGTGTTTGTATCTGTTAGCAAGAACACTTTTGTTTGGTTTGCTTTTATCTTGTTTTCAACATGTTGTTAGAACTATGGTTGGAATTCATCAATGGACATTGATTGAAACACCAAAAGCTAGCTGCCAACTGCTGCTTTGAGGTTTGTCAGTCTTTGACAAAAACAGATTTTAGTTTGGTCTGTAACCATTTATGTGGTTTGGAGTTCTTAGCCTGCTATAGTTTGGATTAAGAAAGGCTTCTATTTCTATTTTTCAACCAAAGCCTCCTTAATCATGTTTTTACATCACAAGACCTTTTTTAGTTTTGTTGAGTTGTAATTGGAATTCATCAATAAATATTGATTGAAATACCCAGACAAACTAACTATTAGTAGTATAAGACCTTAGGCTGTCATTAGTTCTCTCTTGCACTTTGCAATAACAAAGCTCCTTAGTCTTCTTGAAACCACATTTGGCTTTGATCTGTGCTTTTTTTTGTTGCTTTTCTTAAATCATTGTTATGACTCTATCCCTGTCAAAACACCATGTTTGGAATTCATCAATGGATGAAATACCAAGAACTGGTTGTTGTTTTCCATGTTGGAGTCAACTGTCCAACTTGTACATAATTCACTGCTTGCACTTATGTTTTTCTCAACTATCAATGCTCACCATCTGCCACTTGCTGGAGAGTTTGTCAGCCTGATTTCATCTCTGGAGCTTCCTTTGGCTTTTCAAATTCATATAGCTTGAAACTCATTCCACATAGGTTAAGATACCAAAGAACATGCTGCTGTTTCTATGTTTGAGATGAGGCTTCCCAGCCTTCATATCTCATTGCTTGCATTATGATTATCAACACTAAACTCCTCATCAGAATTTACTTTGGCTTTTCAAAATTCATATGGAGACCAACTCATGTTGCAACTCACATGCCTTTGTTCTGTACCCAACTGTTTTGAACATATTTAGGTCTTCTATGTTTTGTTTTATCATATCTTGTGCCATAAGTAAGTCTGCCATGACTTGACAGCCCTGATCAAAATATGTCTGCTTACCTGGCCTGATTTGCTTGATTTTTGTCTTTACAAACATGAATAACAGTTGCAGTTTCATTGGTCATTTTCCCTTCCACCATGTTTTCAAGACATTTTGATGTCTAAACCTCATGTACTATGTATGTGGAGCATGTGCAAGCTTTCAACTGTTTTAAACATGTATGTGTGGCTTTGTGTATTACTTTGACTGGTGAGTCATGTTTAATTTCCTGTCATGAATTGCTTGTTAGCATCATAGGTCACAATGCTTAGTCTTTTGCTAACAGATTGGTTTAGAATTACCTGTTTGAATTTCAAAATGTGTTGAAACCACTACTGTTGTTAAGGTTTCCTTTTATAAAGCATGAGTTTGGATTGTTATTCACAAGGTCATATTTTGCCTCAGTAGAGTTTGAGATCTCTTTTCTTCAAAATCATCATAAGCAGCAGGTTTAAGAATTGTAAGTAGACTTATATTTGGCTTTTGAGCTCACCTTTTTTATGATCACCTTGTCTTGGTTTATCCATGTTTTTGATAGCATTTCACTTGCTAGTATTTTGTTTGATATCTGTTGATTAAATCTCTCTGTTAAAACTTGTTCAATATTGAATTTTGGATGTAAACAAATCCTCACATGTGTGTTTTTTGAAACCCTTAAATGCTTGAGGCTGGAGTTTGATGTTTGATCTGTCCATTATATGTGGTTCAC